GTCCTCATCTGAACATAAACTCCACAGATCTGTTTCCTCAGCTCATTCCACAGAGAGGACTCAGCACGTCGACTCCAACCTGCCTGAACAAGTCGAGAACACATCAGACACAACAGAACTCCCTCAGACCCAACAGAACTCCCTCAGACCCAACAGAACTCCCTCAGACCCAACAGAACTCCCTCAGACCCAACAGAACACCGTCAGACCAAACAGAACACAGTCAGACCCGACAAAACACCTTCAGACCCAACAGAACACCCTCAGACCCAACAGAACACCGTCAGACCCGACAGAACACCGTCAGACCCGACAGAACACCGTCAGACCCGACAGAACACCGTCAGACCCGACAGAACCACACTGCAGCAGCTGCTTTTACAGTCAAATAAAGTTGTTTTTATTCAACTAAAGCCTGAGGTTTGTTAGGAAATCCTGTCTGAGAGACTCCCCCCACCCAGCTGAACCAGTTTCCTCATTATTTAAAACCACAGGTTGCAGAAACATCCCAACAATCTGGACTTAAACTGGGTGAAATCACAGCAAAAATCCAACAGAAACTGCAGGTTAAGATCATTTTACAAGATCACAACAAAGCTCTGCTGCACAGAAGGAGAAAATAAAAACAGATTTGATCAAAAACACAGAAACGATCAGATTTGATCAGCTGGGTTCAGCCTGGGGGTAAAGAGGGGCGTGTCTCCGCATTTAAACTATTTTAACAACAAATAAATAATAACAATTTTAACTGTTAGTGTTTTTACTGCAGACGTGTTTACAATATTGTCCCTGCCTCAAACTAATAATGACACATTAAAAAGCTGCTGGTGCAGGGACACAAACTGTGTTGTTTMATACAAGCTGCTGTTTAATACAACAGGAAGCTCAGGATCACACTTCCTGTCCTTAAAAACGTTTTTTCTTTCTTTTTTTACTTTAATTAACCCCATCCGGGTTCAGGTTGAACAAACGTCACGATGAGGTTAAGAAATTAGAGAAGTGGGTTAAAATCCTACACGGATGCCCAGTTGAGTCCATATAAGGACTAAAAAGCCTAAATGCGGAAGTGTTTGAGGACCAGGAAGTGCCAGTGCGCATGCTCAGAAAAACATAAGCAAAGAAAAAGATTTACATCAGCTTTAATGGTTTCATGTCATTATTTGTTATTTTTAGAAGGCAATAAAGCGAGTTAGAAAGAAAACGTTTTGATGTTAAACTGTGAATGCATCCGCTGCTCGTTAAATGAATGAAACCGCTAAACTAAATGATTTCAGCATGAAATTCCGCTAAAAACGATAATTACTACTAAAAGACGCGCTAACTGTTTGCTTCAGTGCAGCTTAAATTAATTCACTCGTGTTAATCTGGAATAAAACCCGCAGAATGAAGTGATTTGTGGCGGTAAAAGAGCCAGAAACGACCGGGCTGTGACAGCCGGCTCTGCCCGCTCCGCCTGCACCGAGCCGCGGCTCCAGCTGCTCACCCTGTGCCGCAGTCCACAACACACGCCGGTAACCGTCCAGCCATCTCTGGTCCCGGGTCTCTGCTGCTGGGGAGACGGAAGGTGGGTTCGGGTGGGGAAGAGTCGGCTGGAGGATGTGGCAACCCGTCCACAGCAGGAACCGTGAGCCTGCACACACAACCGTTTCCTGTTCCGCGGTGCTCGGCTTCAGGCAGGCAGGGAGAGGCAAGATGGCGGCGGCCGGTGTTGTGTCGAAAACCGTATCCCCGGAAGAATATGATAAACAAACTCTGGTTTCTTCTCTTTAAAACACATTTTGTTTTATTATTTTTTAAATGCAGGCCATGTACGTTTCAGACTAGACTGTCAGAATATATATAATTTTAAACAGTTTGATTTACAAATAAAACAGGCACAAAACAGAACACCAAAACTAATTTGTGTACAACTGAGCAGCCATGACAATAATAAAATAAAACAGTGGTTTTATTTTGTGAATACAAAATAACTCAATTATATTAATAAAAAATAGGATTTTATAGATTTACGTTTTATGGAAAAAAATTGTAATTAAACGATTACAATTTAATTAAAAATGGCCACAGGACGTGAACCATTTACCATAATAATACCATTATTTGTGTCTTTAAGCGTATTTAAAACATCAAGTCCACATTTGATTTATTTTCAGTTAGTCAGAAATAAAGTGAACTGAACTTCACATGATGGGGGTACTTTTTACGATACAACACCAAGCAGAGACAGGCTGAGCTGCTGTCAATCATCCATGACGTCACTGAAGTGATTAAACTCATGTGATTAATCTATTAAACCTTTTATTAATGATCTTTTTTATCATTTACTAGTTTCATTTCTTACAATAAACTTATTTTCAAAGTAAAATCCGACTTTTCTGCACAGAGTTCAGTGACTTGCAGAATATTTTTTTCCAGGCATATTTCATTGAAAACTGTTTTTATTTGTAGACATGCTGTASTTTATTTTTTGCACCATCTGTGTCAGACTGATTTACAAGTAAAGAATAAAACTTTATTATAATATTTCATGATGTCTTATGGTGAAGGACAATTAGACAAAACGTTTTATTCTGAGTAAGATGCACTTAAATCGCAGCAGGTAAACTGTTTCCAACACAAACAGGTTTTTGTTCAACTCTCGTTACATCTTGTCCACATGATGGCTTCAGGTTCATTTAACTTCACRAATATTCATTTATATCATAAAAACATCAACATGTGAAGAAGTTAACACAAACTACAGAAGACATCAAACATTAATCACTTCAAGAAATTAACTCCAAATGGATCAGAAACTTATTTACAGTCTGTACACTCCTGTCGCACTTCCTGATGGTTATTTTAACACTATATGGTATCCGTCTGTGTTTTCATCTGAAAAAAATAAAATAATGTTGTTAAAGTTTATTAAACATCCTAATAAAGTTCAAATCTGGCCAATATAATGACCTCTTATTGTGCTGATAATGAAACTTGTTTCTTCCCTGAAGTTCTGCACCATCTGAAACAAGACAAGGAAAATATCTGCATCTTGTCTGAGTTAATATTTTACTAACACAAACAGCTGCCCACAGGTCCAGGTGTTGATACCTGGTTAGACACTAAGATGTTGATGCCGCTGCTCTTCTGTCTGTAGATGTGTGTGATCTGCTGTGCAGTGATGTTGTAGAAGACGGCGATCTTCTCAGACAAGTCTGTCAGAGTCCGCTCCTCCAGATACAGAGCGTGGTAAACTGGAACAGAGATTTAAACCAAMCATCTCAGGATAATCACTTATTTAACTCATACTTCTTTATATGTCCTTATTTCTCTGTTATACTAAAAGTTATTTAACATAAAAACATCTAATTAAGTATTTTATTTCATTTTTCACTTTAGCATGTCTACGTTTCGTTACAAATGCAATGACGTCGGTAAAGATGATGATGATGATGATGATGATGATGATGATGATGATTGGTTACACTTTGAACTAAAACACAGAGTCGAGCCTAAAATGATATAATGTGTAACAATAAAGTTTTATTGCATATTAGTGTCYATATTCTGCACAATATATGGACTGAAATGATCAAACGTGATATTTAATAAATTGTCTCTGGAGCTAACGCTCTCTCTCTCTCTCTCTATATATATATATATATATATACAGAATGGGAGCTAATCATATATATTATATGATATTAGCATGGGAGCTAATGCTATAACTATTACCACAGGAGCTAATCTTATATACTGTATTTTAATTAGCATAGAGCTAATCCTATGTGCATTAGCAGAGAAGCAAATGCTACATTAGCACAGGAGCTAATGCTATAAACATTAGCACAGGCGGTAATGCTACATATATAGCACATGAGCTAATGCTATATTCAATAGCATATGAGCTAATGTTACATTTATTAGTATGGGAGCCAATGCTACTTATAATAGCATAGGAGCTAAGGCTACATTTATTAGCACATGAGCTAATGCTACATTTATTAGCACATGAGCTAATGCTACATTTATTAGCGCATGAGCTAATGCTACATTTATTAGCACATGAGCTAATGCTACATTTATTAGCACATGAGCTAATGCTACATTTATTAGCGCATGAGCTAATGCTACATATATTAGCATGGGAGATTCCCTGACCATCTCCTCCTGGTTTGGCATTGGTTGGATGTCTGCTCTGCTGCTGACACACGTAGATGGTCAGGCAGGGCTGGATGGACCTGAAAGACAGAGGACAGGTCTCTGCAGACGGGTCTCAAACCGATGAGACGTTCAGAGTCTCCCAGCTGAAACACAAGCCTCACCTTCTCCTCATGGCGTTGAAGAGACGGATCCCATCAGCCGGACCACAGATCTGGATCAGATCATCTCTGCTCATCCTCAGGAGATCAGCTCCTAAAACAGCAGCAGGAAACCAAATCTGACTTGGCCCTAAAATCCTGACCTGATCCTGGATTAGATCATCTCACACAGATTAAATCCCTCTGCTTTACTGGTTTTCCTACGGTGCCCGACTTGTGCCAGCAGAAAATAAAACATAATTTCTGTCTGTTTCTGAATCACAAACTCTGAATTTGTCTCCATGTTACCTGAGAAGCTGGAGAAGAGCCTTGAGAAAGGCGTGAACCTGTGACGGTGCAGCCACTGCTGAGTGTCCTGCGGCGAGGACGACGGCAGGAGGCGCTACATGTCAAAAAGAAGAAGAGTCCTTGAAATGAGTATAGCTGCACAGCATCCACTGTCTCCAAAAAATGTCCTGAAGGGGATAAAAGAGCGAGATTAACACCTTCACACTAACAGTTACTTACGTCAGAGCAGCCGGGCAAAAACAGCTCCCCCTGCTGGTGTGGAGAACAGTTGCTAGGAACGTATGCATGAGGGAAAAAACAAACAGATTGGGGTGATGAGTTACTCAAACTGCCAGCTTCTTTAAAAACTGTTCAAAGGTCAGTGTGACACAAAGATTCATRTAAAAACAGCAAGAAAATCAAACAATTTGTGTTTTTATGACTTTTGAACAAGTTCATTACAGCCACAGACTGTGCTGCCCCCTACTGGTCCAACATGGAATTACTACTGAAGGGAAAACCCAAATAAAACAGAACCAGGACCTTTGATGAGATTCAGCCAAGTTCTCTATTTTTACTGAGAACTCGAGCACTGTCAATCATTCTTTAGACCTTTAAAATACAAACAAATCAAACATTTTACCACATGAAAGACAAATTTCAGCTTAAAAAGGATAAAAATAAATAAATCTAAATGGACCTAAAAGGAGGTATTCAAGGATGCTGTGAGTTAAATTAAGTTAATTTTGTTCTTCACCATAAGAGCCCACGGTACAGATGGAGATGTCATCGTCACTACTTTTTTCATGTTTTGAAGTAAACAATRTACAGATCCTGTAAAAGTTCACAGGTGGTTTTCTTTCAGGTTGTGGTTTGACCAAAGATGTGTTTGATAAACTCAGAACTCAAGTCAACAACCTCTGACTCTCTCAGACCGGTCCAGTTTTTTTTTTTTTTAAAGTTCTGACTTCTGAAGACAGAACAAACTTTTTAGCCAAAACCAACCAAGAGGTTTTCTTTTTTTAATCTCTGGTTTCAAGAGAACCAAACAAGTAGAACCTCACAGTACCACAGGGGCCTTGTGGTACCATAGGGACCTTGTCATACAATAAAGACCTTGTAGAACCAGAGGGACCTTCTGRTACCATAAGGACTTTTTAGTACCATAAGAACGTACCATAAGATGGAATCATAAGGACGTAAAAGAACCATAAAAACCTTGAAGTACCATAAGCTGGTACCATAAGGACCTTGTAGTATGCTAAGGTGGTACCATAAGAACCTCTGAGTATCATAAATGTACCATAGGGACCTCGTAGTAACATAAGGACCTTGTAGTACCACAGGGTGGAACCACAAGTATCTCAAAAAACCATAAGGACCTCATAATAACATAAGGACCTCGTAGTACCATAAGATGGAACCATAAGGACCTCAAAGAACCATAAATACCTTGACGTACCATAAGCTGGTACCATAATGACCTTGTAGTACCCTAAGGTGGTACCATAAGGACCTCAGAGTATCATAAATGTACCATAAGGACCTCAGAGTATCATAAATGTACCATAAGGACCTCGGAGTATCATAAATGTACCATAGGGACCTTGTAGTACCAAAACGTGGCAACATAAAGACCTTTTAGTACCAAAAAGCTGGTATCATAAGGACCTCATAGTACCACAAGAATCTCAAGTACCATTAGGAGKTACTATAAGATGGAACCATGAGAACCTTTTAGTACCAAAAGGATGGACCATAAGGACTCTGTTGTACCATGGAATGGTACCATAAGGACCTCAACGTACCATAAGGTGGTACCATAAGGTGGTACCATAAAGGACGTCTTTGTACCGTTATGTTGGACCATAAGAACCTCTTTGTACCATAAGATGTTACCATAAAGACCTTGAAGGGCCATTAAGGTGGTACAATAAGGACCTCGCAGTAACAAAAGGTGGTACCGTAAGGACCTTATAGTGTCATATGAACCTTGTAGTACCATAAGGACCTTCTGGTATCAATAGGTCTTGGTCAGTCTGTGCTGACATACAGCTACAGTTAATAACAGTTAATAACAGGTTTATCTGTAACCATGGTAAGAGGCGGTGTGAACTCTGACTTACCCATCAGGGAAGCTGCAGGGWGTAGGTGAGCTGTGGTAGACAGGTGATGGAGTGCTGGTGCCGCTGTGGTTGGTCAGGTTCAGGGCATCGGGCCATGGGGAGCACTACATATAAAAACACATACATACTATCTGAATAAGACAAGTTACTGACAGATATCTGTACCTTCTGAGTACTTCTGTGTTTTATATTTAATACTTCCATAGAGCTCCTCATCCTACAGAACATTATGTAACGTTCAGCTCAGATCCTCAGGTAAATAACAAACCAGATTAACAGAAACACAACCATTGATCCGATCCGAGCCCAGAGACAGTGGAGCTCCAATCATTAACAGATATCATCCACCAGCTAGTTTAACAAAGATCGGGTCAGAACCGGTGACCCATTAACACACGGTGATGTAATCCTGGTTTAAACTGTACCGTGTTCAACCAGGCAGAGCAGAACACTGGTTTTATGATCCAGTTCTGATGAGGTGCCTCAGGAATTTACCACCAGGATCAATAAAGTCCCAGYGTCTCAAACTGGAAGCTAACAAAAGGCCCATTTCAGGCCCATTWCAGGCCCGTTCAGACCCACCTCTTTGAGTAGGGTGGTCTCATGTGACGGCTGGTACTTCTCTTGGTCCGGAGGACTCTTCTTCTCCATCTTCTCCCTGTCCGTCTTCAGTTTACGATCCGCACCTTYGGGCTTGAAAACGTTAGAGTTAGYCAGTTCTGATTTAGCYGGTTCTGAGTTAGCCAGTTCTGAGAGAGATCCGAGGCAAACGTGTCATACCTTGAAGACCTTGACCTGGCAGCTGGAGGAGTGGACATGCTCAATGTACTCCCCGTGGTTGTTGGGGGTGAAGGAGTCCACCTGGATCCTAAAGGGGACCCCCTTCTCTCCGCCGTGCTTCCTGCGGGTGAACTCGGTACTGATGCAGTTCACCTGAGGACACGGGTCAGTACTGAGGTCACGCTACCATGGCGTGATCCAAGGTGGAACGGGTCAATACCTGGATGAAGACAGAAGCGTTCTTCTGAGGATCCCAGAGAAACTCGATGGTGTTGAGGTGCAGATGGTCTACATGAGGCTCCAAGATCCCCACTGAGAGCGGGATGTCTGAAATAATTTACTTAGTTCAGTCTTACTTTCATTTGGCAACAATTTTTATTTTTACTTGTTTTTAACCAACAGTCAAAACAAGAATTTCACACAAAATGCTAAAGATGCTACTGATGAAATGCTAAAGATGCTACTAACGAAATGCTAAAGATGCTACTGATGAAATACTAGATACTACTATGAAATGCTAAAGATGCTACTAACGAAATGCTAAAGATGCTACTGATGAAATACTAGATACTACTATGAAATGCTAAAGATGCTACTAATGAAATGCTAAAGATGCTACTATGAAATGCTAAATATGCTACTATGAAATGCTAAAGATGCTACTCACAAAACGCTGAAGATGATACTATGAAATGCTTAAGATGCTACTATGAAATGCTAAAGATACTACTGATGAAATGCTAAAGATGCTACTATGAAATGCTAAATATGCTACTATGAAATGCTAAAGATGCTACTCACAAAATGCTGAAGATGCTACTATGAAATGCTAAAGATGCTACTCACAAAATGCTAAAGATGCTACTCACAAAATGCTAAAGATGCTACTATGAAATGTTAAAGATGCTACTCACAAAACGCTAAAGATGCTACTATGAAACGCTAAAGATGGTACTCAAAAAATGCTAAAAATGCAACTCACAAAATGCTAAAGATACTACTCACAAAATGCTAAAGATGCTACTGACGAAATGCCAAAGATGCTACTAACGAAATTCTAAAGACGCTACTAACGAAATTCTAAAGATGCTACTGATGAAATGCTAAAGATGCTACTATGAAGTGCTAAAGATGCTACAATGAAAAGCTAAAGATGCTACTAACGAAATGCTAAAGATGCTACTCACAAAATGCTAAAGATGCTACTCATAAAA